TTGCGGTGCTGCAAATGCTTGTGTTTGATGCATTGCTTTGATTGTTTTGCCACGAGTACCCAGCATGCAATGCGCGAAAGTCATATTGTCTGTCAATCTGTATTTAGACTCGGGTTCAGCTTATCAATGGTGAGACAGTGAGTTTATTCTAAAAACAGAGAAGAAGAAAATCTACAAACCCGCCAATCAGAGCAGGAAAGAAGAAAACATAAAGAAGAAAGAAAAGTGAAGAATTAAAAAAGAGAAGCGATGAAGAATCTGAGACAAAAGATCAATGAACCATTTAAAAGACAGAAAAGAAGAAAACTGAATTTAACCAAACATGAAATAAATAAATTACTGAGATAAGGTGAGAAATATCCCGACGACGGGACAGAAATAGAGCAACTGTTGCAGTTCAGTGAATAACGAGCAAAAACAGGAAGACAGAAACTGAGACGACCTCACGTCACTCGCCGTTTCATGTTCTGACTGATAAGAAACCATCAAACACAGGAGACAGACAGAAGGAGCAAGGATCTCTGCTAAAGGAAGAGAAAACGACACAAGGAGAGGAAACATTCGAAGAATCCGGAGAGAAACAGCTGGAGGAGGCCGGCAGTCCTCCCTCCCACACTCGGGCTCCGAGCTCCGCCCACGGGAGCAGCCGGACTCCTTCGGACTCCGCAGAGATCTGATAACATTTCGCTGATCTGCTGGTGGGCCGGATTAGACCTCTGCTGCTGCTCTAATCCAGCCTAATCTGTCAGCAGCCAGCCAATCACACACAGCGAGGGCTGGCGCTGCGCCTGGGCGGAGCCGCCCTCGCCCTCCTCTGCCTCTCTCTCTGAAGTATGCGAGGCTGAATGAAGCCATCTGGTCCAGATTAGGAAAATGACTCGTTTGTGGTTTTGTCTCTAAGTCTCCTTCAGCCTCCTCCTCCGAGTCTTTATTAACGACTCAGACTGAAAGACTTTCTTTAACTCTTTGATCCTCGAATGTGAGAGCAGCTCAAAGTGAACAAACTTTATTTAAACCAGGAGACGTGACAAAAACCTCAGAGCAGCAAGGCCAGCTGCATGAGGCCACACTGTTCCTAATAAAGAGGCCACGGCTTGGTCCTGGTTGACGACTCAGCACGGCCGACTGCTGTGAGCTGGGCACTGAGCTGAGGCGCAGGGCAGGGAGGCGAGGCGCGGGGCCGGGGGGCGAGGCGCGGGGCTGGGAGGCGAGGCGCGGGGCCGGGAGGCGAGGCGCGGGGCCGGGAGGCGAGGCGCGGGGCCGGGAGGCGAGGCGCGGGGCCGGGGGGCGAGGCGCGGGGCCGGGAGGCGAGGCGCGGGGCCGGGAGGCGAGGCGCGGGGCCGGCAGGCGAGGCGCGGGGCCGGGAGGTGAAGCTTGACGTTTATCCTCGAGGCCAACGAGCTTTTATTGAACTGTGTCTCCTCAGCGTCAGGGAGACGAGGAGCTCAGGAGCTCTACTCCAATGACAGGAGCAGCTGAGGTGATTCAGTGTCACTGCTTGGACACTGCTGGCGTAAAGACAGGTTTCTGATGGGGCTCCCACACAAACACAAAGCACAGGATGAAGCCTCGCCAAATATGCTTCCAAACCAAAGACAAGAACATATGATGCAGCATATCTTGCCTTTAGCTTCACCTGCACAACAACAGTGGTGCCACTGTCGGTATCCCGACAGAATATGTTTCCCCTGCGTCGGCAGCACGCGCTGGGCTCTCCACAGTGTCCCACATTCTTGATTTTAGTTCACAAACACTTCTTATAATTTTGGCGATGTTTGCTCTTTATACAGTAAAGTTACAGCAGGATACAAATAACATCAGGCTGATCCTGCCACAGTTTGTTCTCCTGGTTTAAATCACAGACAAATAGGATCCCACAGCTGTTTATGTGTTTGAACCCATTTTGCACAGAGAGACATTTTTGACAAATGTTGAATATTCTTACAAAGTGAAAAGAAACTATAGGTAAAATAAGTACAGGATAAAGTCGGTTTGTTACGTGGTTTATTTTATTGCAACCTGTAATTTATTGCAGTTTACTTTTATGTGTTTCATTGTTTACTGCAGTGGAGTTAGGGTAAATATGGGTAAAACAAAGGGGGCCTAGCAACAACACTGGAGCTGAAACAAGTTCAACTCTGAGTTTGATTTTAGAGATGAAGCAGTGATTGGATCAGGAAACGGAGTGATGTCAGCCTCAATGAGCATCCCGCCGTAGCAACGGAGATCTGTGTGTGCTGGACGAGGGGGGGAAGCAGGAGTGCCTCCACAAAAAAACAAAAACACAGAAGAAGAAACAGACACAGGAGAGCTGAACAGACCTCGTGAAAAGAAACCTGATCTTCATTTTTCAACTTTGCTGTTTCTGGATGATCATGTGATCTGAGACTGCAGAGAGGATCTGAAACCTTCTGACTGTCTCACACACACACACACACACACACACACACACACACACACACACACACACACAGAGGCTGTTGTTCGGTAGTACCACTGCTGAGTGATCAGAGGAATGTTAAGTACGCTGCAGCTTCAGGAGATTTTCTCTCAGACTGACTCCAGGATCAGCGAGCGGCTGAGTCACGCTTCACATGTGTGTCAGCACAAACACACAAACACAATAAAAACAACTCAAAGACATTAAAGGAACCACAGCTTGAACCAACCAAGTTTTAATCTGGACATTTATTCCAGAGTCCAGATTGTCTAAAAGCCCGAGATCGGACCACACACGATCACAGCATCAGGTTTATACTGCTGCATTGTTCTAGCCATGCTTTTATTATGAAACCTGACATTTTATTTTGAAAAACAGACAGTGAGCTGCACATGTAAAACAACACAACAGCTGGAGGAGCAGACAAAGCTCACCAACACACACCTTAACACGGTAGGTGGGTGTCGGTGGGATTAAAATAACTCTGGTCGTCATCATTAATGTCACATGATGGATGAAGATGGGACTTTTCCCCTTCATCTCCCACTGACCCAGATCGACCGTGGACCTTTGGACGACCACCTCTGATGCTGCCGTTCACCTAAAGCTTTAATTCTGGGACTCTTTGTACTTCATCCACCTGAACCCTGATGAATCTCAGGACTGTTTCACTGAGGTCATCGGTCACTGCATCACATCGTCTGAGAGTCTTTGTTTCAGCTTTTGAACTCTCGTGTTTATGGTGATCTAGACTTTCACAGGCTGATCTCTTTCTACACATCAAACTGGTTTCATAATAGAATAGAATAGAATCTTTAGAATGAGAATAAAGAGCTATTCTATTCTATACAGACTCCTTCAGGGTATCTGCAAGCCACTTTGCAACCCACCTGACAGCTCAGAGTGTGGAGGTCACAGATCCTCAGCTTCCATCTATCTCTGCTTTATTTAAAAAGTAAAACACTTTCATAGTTTGTTTTTCCTCTGATAGTTTTTTGTTTCATGGGGTTCATAACGATGCTCATGTGTACGCTTGCTGGGATAAGTACACAGTGTAGGGATTTGCTCCCACTGTTGTTACAATGCTAGTTTGATATGTTTTGCTTTAGCGTCTCTTCTGTTTGCTTCAATCTGCACAGTTTGAGCCTCGTTGATTGATTTCCTGACATGACACAGACAGCTTTACCGATGCTGTTTGTTTCACAGATGTTTGACCACAGTACAGCAACACACATGGAAACACTGCAAGACTGCGATTTCTGTGAAACCTTTGAGTTTAATCAGATCGCTGATGGGAGACACAAAGCATGGCCGTCCAGAGTCAGATTATTTAACGTAACTTTAACTGGAGACTGAGCAGCGAGGCTGGACTCACGCTGGGAGATCCATGCTGTGAGACATTCACGACTCACCCCCCTCCCCCGTCCTAATGGCCCTTACAGCTCATATGCGACCGCCGGGACGGAAACCGGCTGGTGTTTCCTGCAGAGGTGACCCCTTCGTCGGGATCAGGCTTGCCGTCACGCTTCCTTCTCAGGAAGCAGCCGTTTCTTCCTGTCTTTGTCTGCCAACCACACACATGCGCCTGTCTTCCCATCAGTGCGAGGACCCTTGGTCACACACTGACCCCCACACACACCCCAGACACTCACACCAATTATCAGAGTGTAACCAGCCCTGCCTAATGTGTATGCTATTAGCCTCGGAGCTAACCGTTAGCATGTAGTGATGCTAACACCCCACCGAACAAAACCCTGAGACCTGATTGGATGAGACAGGACAGGCTGGGGCGGCAAGACGCGCTCCCAGCAGGCCCCGAGGCTGTCTCACACACACACACACACACACACACACACACACACGCTGATGGACAGCTGCAGCCTGTGGTGTCAGTGGTGGCATTTAGCTGGTGACACACACACACACGTATACAGTGACAGTGAGGCTGAAACAAGATGGCAGCAAAAAAACAACAGACTCTGTGTGACGGGCGAAGACAGACACGAGGAGGAAGGAGGTAAAATGAGGAGGAGGAGGCGTGCTCCCCACACGAACATGAGCTCAGCGCACTGACGTCTATTAAAAGGAACTCTGATTAGAGACACAAACACAGACCACACCCAACACACACACACACACACACACACACACACACACACACACACACAGAGTGAAATACCTTCACAGATAAAAAGCTCCATGCACTCCACAGTAGTGTGTGTGTGTTTCTGTGAGGATCCATGTGTGTTTAGACTTTCTGAAGACTTCCACATGCATTCTGCTCTCTCTCTATCTCTGTGTGTGTGTGTGTGTGTGTGCATAAACTGTGATCTCCAGCAGAAACAGTAACCAGGCGCTAACAGCATTAGCGTTTGCACAAGAGCTTACTCGCCTCAGGCCAAACATGAATAATGCAGCAGTCAGCCCAAAGCCTACGGGTGTGTGTGTGTGTGTGTGTGTGTCACTGCTATCTGGCTGTACTCGAGGCTGTCTATATGACGACGGTATTAGAATAATATGCTAATTACTAATAATTACTCTGTAAAATACACACACACACATTCTGCCCGTTCCGCTTCCTTCATCTTCTGCTTCCTGCATTTCTTCTTCCCTCCAGGTTGTAACTCTTCCCGGCGAGGATGAAGAGGAGGAGGAGGAGGGGAGCTGCTGGACTCGACACTCGGACTGACCCGGACCTGAAGTAGGTTCCTGAAGGATCACACGGACAACCGAGCAGCCAAGAGCTCTCCGAGAGGTCAGAGGTCAAGTGGCGGCCCTGCCACACCAGGCAAACAGGCGCTGGTTCCCGAAAAAACCCAGAGGGAACCGGACCAGAAGCAGAACCTCTGCATGTGTCAGCATGTCTGCATGGAAGAGACGTGAACTCTCCAGTGAGAGTGGAAATGCAGGCAGAGTTACTCCTGCAGGGTCCACCTGTGTGTTTGGGTCTGCAGAGTTACTCCTGCAGGTCCACCTGTGTGTTTGGGTCTGCAGAGTTACTCCTGCAGGTCCACCTGTGTGTTTGGGTCTGCAGGGCTCCTCGAGGTTCTACAGGCTGACATGAACCTGTTTCACTCATCAGTCAAGATAAACACGTCTCTTTCCTGGTTATGACACGTTTCCTTTTACTAACACAGCCGGGCTCCATTAGAGGAAATACCAGCCATACACGTGGCTACTGCTGAAGGTCTGTAGGACAAAGCTGATCCCACCAGACTCCTGGACAAGGTCCACCAGAGTGGAGATGTTTGTCCACAAAGCACAGCAGCATGTTTGGAGGAAACCCAACAGCAGCTGTCAGCAGGGGGAGGAGCTGCTGCAACGCTGCAACCAGACTCCAGCTCACAGAGCTGCGATGAAGGCTGCACACCAAAGTGGGCCGACGTTCCTCCACAGTGATGTGACACACAGGAAACCATCACTGCCACTTCCTGCTGCTCCACGAGGCTCTGCCAGCTCGTGGGTCGGACCCTCAGCACCGAACTGTAGCTCAGTTCAGACTGCACAGTCGTGATTGTTATTATTACTGCGACGGTCTGCATTGGGTGAGTGTGTGTGTGTGTGTGTGTGTGTGTGAGAGTGTGTGTGTGCGCGCAGCGATGGCCGGCGGAGGCTTGAGTGTTTCCGTGTGTCCGCTGTCTGTCCTCATCAGTCATACCGTCCACTCTGGAGCCAGAGGACAGCGTCTGTCACTCAGTCTTCATGTCCTCTGTGAACTACATCAGATCTGTCACCGCCAGTCACGGCGAGTCACAGCAAGTCACAGCGGCACGTCCGCCCAACGCTCTGCACGTCCCAAAACTGAAGGACCCAGCCCACCTGTCTCTGCTCAGTGACACTCGTCACATGCTCTCAAAACCAGCGAGGACTCCAAACACAAACTGATCCAGAACTTTGGACTTTCTGGACCACAATGAAGAAAACTGAGAGGAGATCCTGCTTCATCTTGCAGCACGTCTGAGGGTCCGTCTGGACCAAAGCAGCATTCAGGTGTCCTGAAAAATAATTAAAATGTGAGCGATAACGTCACAAATGCGCCCTGATTACATTTCTGAAGGCTGCAGGTGACCTGACCAAGCTCCGCCCTCGGACAGCAGCTCGGTCACCTACAAGCGTCACTGCAATAAGCAGGTGGACGGACAGAGTTGTCCTGGGGTGTCCGACAGCGCTTTGTTCCGGGTGTTTGTGGATTTCTGTGGGTCGCCACAGAGATGCAAACGAGGGTTTCAGTTAAAAATCCAGATAATCCAGAGAGCAGATTGGAACATTTCATAACCCAGAAACGTGGAAGATTAAGGTCCAGATTAAAGTGCATCCCAAGAAGGAACGAAGGGATTCCTTATTGGTCTGTGTTTCCTCACGTCTTTGTGTCTGTTGTCTGACCTCAACTGTCCTGGTTATCCTTCACCCTGTAACAGTGCATGATACAGTCAGTATGTACCTGCGCTGGTGCTGCAGCCCTGTGTGTGGAACCAGACATGTTTCCACAGAGCGACCCACTGAAATCAGCCCACAGCACACCACTGACAACCTTTTCGGTCACACCCACCAACTCTAACTCACCTTTGGCCACTGACAATAAACTAGGTCATCACCTGACAGCAGTACCAACACTACACCACGTGTGCAAGTAGCCGAGTATCAGCACTAATGCAGCATGGCTAAAGGCCTTCCTGTGTTTACACGTGTAATTGAACTAAAGCTCACTGTTCACAACAGATTTTCACAATAAAAGCTGGACACTGTGAAAAACCTGCACTGATGCTTAAAATGAAGCTTTGAAACATGATGAACAGATAAAGGCTTTTATTTTGAAACCGCTTTGAGTAAAAGAGAGGAAATAATGAACTCTTAGTGAAACCTGTGGTCTGTAATTAAAACTGAGAGCATATATTAAATAAAACAGCATGATAAAGCGTCACCTTACGCTGGGCTCACACTCTGCGATTTTTGGCCCATTTTGAGCCGATTTTCAGTCGTGCGACCGTTTTGGTGATCGGCCAAGTTTCGCCAAAGCAAAGTTGGTGGCGTGTGTGTCTGTGTGGGTGAAAGACAGAGAGGGAGAGCGAGCGACTGATTTTCTGTTATAACCTTCATGCTATGGACGCAGAGTGTGAGCACTCAGGTCGTATAGTGTGAGACCTGCATCCTGACCTACGACCTTCTAACCCCCGCGAGTCAGTCGTACAGTTTGAGCAGAAGCTGAATAATCGCAGTGTTTGCCCAGCTTTAGTCATCCTGGGCACAGGTAGGGCCTCTCGCAGTGTCTCTGCATGGCCAGCAGGGGCAGCAGAGAGAAACGGTTCCATTAAACATGAATGTTTTTCACATCAGACTTCCGGGATCAGGTGTGTAGTTCAGGAGCACACAGACAGGGGGCGCTGCTCTCAGCAGCAGACACACAAACAATCCCTCCGATAAATGAAGGAGAACGGCTCACAACCACAGGAGCGAGTAAACGCTGAGGACGCCACCTCCAGCTCACGAAGAGCAAACCACAGCCTGAACCAGCCCCCATCCTCACACCCTTCCTCCCCCCAGCACACAGAAGGTCATCTCCAGCCTTCAGCAGGCGGGTGGGAGGGGGGGGTATCGTTCCGCCTGGCGGAGGCAGAAAAGGTCTCGTCCCCCAGGAACCACACAACGGACGGACGCAGCGCACAGCCGGGCGCATCAACACAGCGCATCAGTGTCAGCAGTCAGAGAGCTGCTGTGATTGGTCGACTGATGGGTGACCTCACGCTGCTTTAAGTGCGACTGAATAAACAACTACAGAATAAATTAATACAAAACACAAAGCGTGTTTCTTTGTAAAGCACTTTGTGATTTTTATCTGTGAAAAGCGCTATTTTTTATTTTTATTT